GAGAGAGAGAGAGAGAGAGAGAGACTAACAGCGGTGGTGGTGAGCCGATCGGCACAGTAGCAACGGTGAGGAAAGAAGAGGCTAACGATCAGCAGCAAGGGAAGGAGAAACCAACGACGGCGGTGAGGAAAGGCTGTCGGCGGTGAGTCGATGAAATGGTAGCAGCGGCGGTGAGGAAACTCTGTGTGTGAATGAGTATAAGGTGTGTGTGTGTGTGTGTGTGTGAAATCAGGTTTGATGGAGAAATTATTGTGTATGTTTGAGAAGAAGAAGAAGAACCGATTGCTTTCTATCTGCTTCTATATGCGCCAATACATTTTTATTTCCCCCCTAAAATATTTAGCGACTAAATTATTTATTGGTGACAAAATTATTTCTTCACCAAAGATAAAAATATTGGCTACAAAAATAGTTTTGTCACTAAATGGTATTAAAATATTAAAAATTATTGATGACAAAAATATATTCGTCATTAATAAATTTATAATTGGTGACCAATTTTTTCATCACCAAAAGTCTCAAAATTTTGGCACCCTCCGAAAAAATTAGCGGGAAAATTTTCAGTGACAAAAAAAATATAAATAATGACAAAAATAATTTCGTGACCTAATGTTTTTTATTATGATTTAGATTGGTGACGAAATTTTATTTTTGTCTCTAAAAATGGTACATTTGGAGACGAAATATTATTTTCGTCATTAAAAGATATGTATTTCGTAATAAAATTTATTTTCGTCTTTAGTTTTCGTCTCTAAAGACTATTTTTGTTGTAGTGTAGGTAAGCTTTTATTTACTTTAGCATAATCGCATATGTGTGAATGTTGCCATGTCTAACATACTTGCCATGAGGCTAAATGCTTAATTGATAAACTGCTTGAATGCTTGTGGATGAAGGCTTATTGCTTGAATTTGAATAATTTGAACAATGTTTATATGCGATCACTTTTTCAAGTGGACCATATTTTGAAACAATTTTGCAAAACAAACATGACTCGAAATTTTCCAATTCTTGCAATTTTAGTCTATACTTGTGTGTGTGCACATCACGTAGTAAATGCTAGCCTAAATAAACCAGAACAAAAGCATATAATGTACATAATATTCATATCATGATTAGTAGAGGCCGATCTTTGATCGGGTGAGCGGGGGTGCTTAATTCATGACCTTCTCCTCTCGTACCTAAGTTCTCGAGCCGAGATAATCTTGGTGATGACGAACACGTGGCCTTTGGCACGAGTCATGAGTTTTCTAAATTTTTCAAAATATTTAGGTGACGACTCTGTATCTAGCAAAGCAGTTTATTTTTGACATTTTTTATTCAAAATCGATCTTTTCAAAAGATTTGTTGGATTTAGACTCTTTAGTATTTATCAATTTCACCTTATTCTTGTGAGATTAAATTCAGAACCGCAGGAGTCTGAATTGTATGGCTTATATTTCGAACTCCGGAGAGAGAAGCGCGAAAAAGGCGAGCTACAATATTCTGCAACCCTCAGGTTTTGTTCAATCTTCTCATCAAGTGTGCAGGCTCAAGAAAGCCTTATACGGACTTAAACAAGCTCCTCGCGCTTGGTATTCTACTTTCTCTAAGTTTCTGCTCTATCAAGGCTTTGTTAATAGCTACTCAGACTCTTTTCTCTTTGTTCAACATACTTGCACAAGTCTTCTCATTCTTGTAGTCTATGTGGATGATATCTTAGTCACTGGCAATGATTCCTCTTTTCTTACTCAGTTTATTCAACACATGCATACTGTGTTCTCTATGAAGAAACTGGGTACTGTGTCCTATTTCTTGGGGATCTCTGTTCAAACCTTGCCTCATGGTTATTTCTTGTCCCAAGCTAAGTATGCAACTGAACTCCTTCACAAGGATGGTTTGACTGATTGCAAACCTTGCTCTACCCCTTTAGCTGTCAAAGCTTCTACTTTTCTTCAGATAATCTTCCATTTTTCCAACCATTCTCTGTATAGGAGCCTTGTTGATGGCTTACAGTATCTCACCATTACCAGGCCTGACTTAGCCTTAGCTGTGAATTAGGCATGCCAACATATGCATCTTCCTACTAATGCTGATTTTGAAATAGTAAAATAACTATTGCGATATGTGAAAGGTAGTCTTCATCATGGTCTTCAATTTACTTCTGGTCTATTTTCTCTCCATGCTTTTTCTGATTCAAACTAGGCTAGAGATAGCCTTGATAGAAGATCCAATTTTGGATATTGTGTCTATTTGGGTCCAAATCTGATTCCATGGAGTGTTAAGAAACAATCCATTATTTCTAGATCTTCCACTGCGGCCTGAGTACAGGGCCTTGGCTAATGCCACTGTAGAATTAACTTGGTTGCAACAGTTACTTAAACACATGCATATCAATTCTTCTTCCATTCCTCAGCTCTGATGTGACAACCTCTCTGCTATTGCCTTGGCTTCTAATCCTGTTTTTCACTCTCGTTCTAAGCATATCGAAAGCGATTGCCACTTTATTCAAGATAAGGTTGTTGCCAAACTTATTGATTTGAAGTATGTGCCTACTGCAGATCAGATGGCAGACATCTTTACCAAACCTCTTCCTACCTTTCGTTTTCATTATTTGAAGGACAACCTTCCTGTGCTGCCTTGCCTCATCAGCTTGCAGGGGCTGATAAGATTCTAACTGAATCTACGCTAAACCAGTCAGAGCTATAGCTGAAGCCTAACACACAATCTCAATTGTCACAGCTAAAGGAGAAGTCAGCATTGATATCTCATATATTACAGTCATGTTTCAATGGTGGTTCTCAAAATAATATCTATAATAGTTGTAGAGTTTGTTAGATAGTTAGTTAGGGTTGTTTGTTAGTGAGTTGGTTAGAGCACTACTGTATATAATATCTTGAGCTGTTTGTATTCAATTCATTCAATCAATAAAGAAACTAATTTTTCTTTAGAAACCTTATGATCAATATCTCATACTAATTTTTTTGATTTTCTTGATTTTGAACAATTAAGAAAGTTCCGATTGGCTAGCTTCCATTTAATTTTTATTTTACAAAATATAAAAAAATTAAATATAATTATCATATTTTTATTAAATAATATATTATTTTATTTCGTGTATAGCATGAGTGGTATACTAGTAATGTTTAATGAAAAATGCCATTAATTATCACAAGACTTATTGGACAATAAGTGCACCTATTAAGACCTACACGTAAGTCTCCTTTTTATTTAAGACAAATGTGATTTGATTGTGTGGCTACCGATATTAAATTAACTTAATTTTTTAACACAAATAATTTTTTATTTTTTTAAATAAATCATATAGGATGAATGTTTTGAATTATAAAAATAAAAATAAGTCAACTACTAGATTTTACGCAAACTTATTTAGCAATTACAAGATTTTTTTTTTTTAATAAAAAATTACTAATTGACGCTTCATATAAAAATGCATTATCATATAAAATGACCAATTGTTGTGGGCAAAATGGCAAAAATATCAACATCCCATTTGCTACATAAATTGAGGAGAAAAAGCTACAAAGATGGGGTTGTTGGCTTGTTTTGGGCAAATGCATTCACCAAATGAGCAACTTTTTTACTTTTACAATTAAAACCCCCACTATAAAATAATTAAGATTTTAAAAACTAAAATTTAGAATAAAATTATTTTTTATAAATTAAATATTTTTATTACGAAAAGTGTCGTTATTATATTTTTAACAACAAAAATTATACATTAGTAACGAATTATTATCTTTTTTAGACCAAATTTTTTGTATCAAAAAATAAACCATTTTAAGACTAAATTATTTTGTCCCTAAAAGTTTATTTATTAGTGGCATTTTTAAAATTTTATCACTAAAAACTTTATTTTTGACTTTTTAGGATGACTTTTTAGCGATTATACTCATGACGATGAAAATTAGTCCTTAAATGTCTTTTGCAACAAAATTTTCACTTTTAGAGATCAAAATATTTAATTTCTAAAATTCTTATATGTTGTAGTGCCCTAATGAGCGGCTGCCAGCTGGGGGTTGCGGGTAAAGGTTGTGGGTAGCCACCGGATGTGGTGGTGATGGTAGCAAGAGAAGTGATGGCTAGAGTGGTATGGAAGGTGTTTGAATTTTATATTAGGATAGAATTATTTAAAAAATTATTGAAAGATGGGGTCAAAAGAAAAAAAAAATACAAAAAGTGAGGAGTGATAACAGTACTTTTTTTAAATTAATATATTTAAATGTAAAAGATTAAAATAAAATAAAATAAAAAATTGTAAAATTCATTTGGTGGTACATAACAATCTTTATGAATTAATATTTAAATGTAAAAAAGTCTCAATTTGAGATCTCACCTAAAAACCCCCAAAATAGTGAGTTCAACCCAAATTCCTTAATTAATTTCATTTAATTTATGGAAGAAAGAAATAATTAGCAGCTTATATTGAATAGATGGAGAACCACCTTTTCCTATAAAATATTATACCTGGTTGAGCATTACATACTTGCATATATATATATATATTATGCACAAACTAAATTCTTTTCTAAGTCATAATTTGAATTTTTTTTCTTTGTATGTTGTACTTTTTAGGTATGGACTAAATGTGTTCATGGGTAAAATTCCATAATAGCTACTACAATATACATCACAAAATAGGAAAAAATAAAAAAATTAATTAATAGCCAAAGCTATTAACACTAACGGTTAGTTTGTAATGTTCTAAATAAGTTTATTTTTTAATTTTTTATAAAAAAAATATAAAAAAATATATATATATATATATATATTAATTTATGTGATTCAAATAAATGCACTTATAAAAAAAAATACACTTACATAGTTTAACCAAAACAAGACTTAATTATGTCCTGACTACTCATTCTAGGATTCTCTTTTCTACTATTGAGTCTCAATTTTGCATGTCATTTTCCTAACCCCCACCACTAATCTCTCTCTCCTCCAATCTCTCTCATTAAAGTCCAAGAAGAGAAAAAGGAGGAAGATGGCCAAGAAAAAGGTTCCCAAAGACAAACCAAACAACTTTTACAAAATCAACCATTAATTGCAAAGCTTTCCCACATAAAGCCCTGAAAATATAAACCACATATGAGGAGAGACTTATAGCTAGGGTTGTTATACTCATTAACATGAGTATAAGGAGCTACCATGAAGCTCCAACCTTCATTGAATGGCTCAAACCATCTTCATCACCACCCTCTTCTTCTTCATCTTCATCTTCCATTTTAACTGAACAAGTTCACTTCTCAAACACCATGAGCTTCCTCAAACTACCTCTCTTTTACCATCATCAACAACAACAACAAAGACAAGAGAAGGACGATATTGCCCTTGAAACGATCCAATGCCTGCCTCTTCTGAGCAGGCTAACGGAGGCGAGGCCACTGAAGGAAGAAGTGGAAAAGGAGGATTTTGGGATTAAATCCGAGAAGTTTGAGAAAGTTAAGGTGGCCCTGCACATAGGATTGCCTAACACAGGTGAGTCAGATGTCGAGACCAAGTCATTCAAATGCAAGGATGAAGAGAACAAAGAGAAAAGATTTAGTGGCGACAATTTTAATGCGGAGAGTAGATTTTGGATCCCAACACCGGCGCAGATCCTCATAGGGCCGATGCAGTTTGCTTGTTCTATATGTAGCAAGACCTTCAATAGGTACAACAACATGCAGGTTAGTCTCATGAGGTTTTATTGATCAAACTTGTGATGCTCAAAAGAAATAATTTTATTAGGGTTTGCTGTAAATTATCCAAAACCATACAAAATCTATTACTTCATCAAATCAAATCAAATTAAAAAAAAAAAAAAAATCAACCATTTTAAGCAAACTTCAGGTTTTCCTCTTTTTAAGTTTTTTGCAAATTCAATCATTGAATTCCTTCAATACATCTAAAAAAAATCATTCACAGGGTAAGTAGACATTGATATCATTAATTAGCTATTTTTACCCAAAATGCTACTCTCTCTCACCTCAATAAAATCAACTAAATCATGCTTCTTTTTCTTTTTTCTTTTTTTCTTTTCTAAAAATTGTTGAAAATTAAATTTTTCACGACGACCTCAAAACAGCATAGAAAATTGTCTTCTAAATTCTTTTCTTTTCCTAATTTTTTTCCACATAGCGATAATGATTCGCAAACCACCATAAGATTAGGCTTTGAAAAGGGGATGAACAAACAACAAATCCATTGAACAATTCACCACTTTAGGCACATAAGTCAAAACTTTGCATGGAAATTCACATTGTAATAATAACTTGTTTCAATGAAGATGATGCAGACTTAGAATCTTCAAACAAAACTTCAAGTTTGAGTTTTAGAAGTCATAACTTGCTATAAATTTTTGTCATGACTCTAAATGTATAGTTGTCTTTGTCGTCTTTATTCTTTTCCAAGTACAATATGTTCCTTCAATATTGTGTAAGAAATTGCATGTTTCAGTCTATAAATTTTGACTTCTGATTCAATTTTAACTTAACCATCAGAAAATTCAACACTACCTTAACCCTTTTTTTCATATCCATCAAAAAAGAAAAAAAAAAAAAAAACTCACAAAAAAAATTACAATGACAGTGGCTAACTAAAGCAAATATATAAAAAGATGTGATAAAAATCATCATAAAGTATAAGAGCCCACATTTAGGCATCTTTTATAAACCCCCCCTCCCTTTTTCGTGATGTAGAGCAGTGAAAACATTTATGAAAAATGTGCATCATTGTTTCTTGAGAGTGAAATATATATCACACGCATACATACGCATAGTGACCTTGAAGCGTAAGTTTATCTCAAACAGAGTTCTAGATATTGGTCGACACCTATTGAGATTTGAGATTTGAGATTTTAGACTTTTGATATTGATATTCAATGATATATTAACGAATATATTATACTGATGTTGATACGTATTTTTATGTTATTTAGGCCTTGTTTAAAAATAAACTATTTTAGTAATTTTTTTAGTTTTTTAAAAAAAAAAAACTCACAAAAAAAATTACAATGACAGTGGCTAACTAAAGCAAATATATAAAAAGATGTGATAAAAATCATCATAAAGTATAAGAGCCCACATTTAGGCATCTTTTATAAACCCCCCCTCCCTTTTTCGTGATGTAGAGCAGTGAAAACATTTATGAAAAATGTGCATCATTGTTTCTTGAGAGTGAAATATATATCACACGCATACATACGCATAGTGACCTTGAAGCGTAAGTTTATCTCAAACAGAGTTCTAGATATCGGTAGACACCTATTGAGAATTGAGATTTTAGACTTTTGATATTGATATTCAATGATATATTAACGAATATATTATACTAATGTTGATACGTATTTTTATGTTATTTAAGCCTTGTTTGAAAACAAACTATTTTAGTAATTTTTTTTTAATTTTTTAGGAAAAGATATGCAGAAAAGTAAAAAGATTGATGTGATAACTTATAGTGATTTTTTAACTTTTTGGCTAAAATATGTAATTGTCAAACGAAGCCTTAAAATCATGATGAATACAATTCTTGAATTAAAGAAAAGCTAATCAAACACCATGTATATTATTGCCAACTCTTGTCAATTGAAGTTATACACGATCTTATTAAACATAATTTTATACCTCTAAAACAAATACAAGTATTCATATTTCCTTCTTTTTTTTTTATTTATTTATTTATAACGAGAAACCCCTAACCCTGTGTTCGGTGCAGATGCATATGTGGGGACATGGATCCGAATATAGAAAAGGACCGGAGTCGCTTAGAGGAACACAACCGGCAGCAATGCTAAGGTTACCATGCTACTGTTGTGCCCAAGGCTGCAAGAACAACATAAACCATCCTCGAGCGAAGCCATTGAAAGATTTTAGGACACTCCAAACACACTACAAAAGAAAGCATGGTTCAAAGCCATTTATGTGCCGGAAATGTGGGAAAACATTTGCAGTCAAAGGGGATTGGAGGACACATGAGAAGAATTGTGGGAAGCTATGGTATTGCACTTGTGGTTCCGATTTCAAACACAAAAGATCACTCAAGGATCACATAAGGTCTTTTGGGAAAGGTCACTCTCCACACCCTTCTCTTGAAGGGTTTGAAGATGAGAAGGAATGCATTACTGGGTCTGAAGACGAAATGGCTCATGACTAGTCAGTTAGTCATGACCTTTGCTTCATAAGCTTTCGATAAAAGAATTTTATTAGTAGTGATGCTGAAATTAAGTTTAGGAGGGCTTATCCAAGCTTGTGCTCAGTAACAAAAAATTCTCAATATAGGGAGCGGTTTGTTACGGAGCACTTGCTGAGTGATGAGCGGTAATAATTTGCGATGTTTGCTAATAAAAATGGATTTGACTTGGAAGTCGTGGTGAAGCCGATGAATTTTCTTCCTTTCTTAGATGTGGAAAGAAGTTTATGATATGTTCTTCAACCTTTTGTAATCTCCCTAATGGAGAAAATTTGTCTGCTTCATTGCTCTTGGTAAGCTTAATGTAATCGAGATTGTATTGTTGCTAGTTATTACCCTCTGTGTGTGTGTGAAAACACAAGATTAATTGGAAAATTCAATTATCTCATGATTAATCCATGTTCAGTTCAAAATTTTGACATTGTTTGGTTCTATTATAAGAGAAGAAAATATATTAAAAAAAAAGAGAGCGCATTTTGTCTTTTTCCATTTTGGGCTGTTACTTTCTTTTCTGCACCATCCTCACATGCTAATGAATGTTTATGTAACTCGCAAGCTGGTTTACAAAAAATATTTTAATTATTGTTGTAATTAAAGTAAATTTTCTAATTAATTAATGTAAAATAGGCCATATAAAATCTTCATATAAAGGCTATGTACACAATTTTTCTTAAGTAATACTACCATTCAAAAAAAAAAAAAATACTTGAAATTTATCATCAATGCTAAAGATTTTAATTTGTGACTCCACAGCATCAACTTCAAATATGCACTATAAATTTGAAATTCATTTTTCTGAGTAAATTTAGGTACCATAGACTTCCTGATTTTCTCTTTATATAACATAACAAGCACCAAGTACAATAGAATTTGGCAGAAAACAACTCTTAACTTAGATCCCATACAATTAGCCTTTTTTGGGTTAGTACCATACAATAGCCTACAAGAACACCTTAGGGCATGGAGGTTTATTTCCTTTCAGATCTCAGGTTCGAATCTCCTAACCAGCAAATGCATATCTTGGGGTCACGGACCGCAAAGCGTAAGCTCTGTTTTGGAAAGCTTGTTTGAGATGTAGGGACTTAGTCTGATATGCATAAGCTGGCCCAAGATATCCTACATAACTTTTTTGTAAGAACAAAGAAACGAGTTACGGAATTGAATAAATAGATGAACTCAAAATTTTAAAAGTTAACCCCACCAATAAATTATGTAAAATTTTATCAAGTCATGTGAATTTTGTATTCCATTATAAATTTGGAACTGTAAAAATCCATCATAAAACCAGATACATAATGAGGAGTATTGGTAGCGGGGAACGCGGCAAATTCTAAAGGCAACTATATTTGTATTTTATTTTGTCCTTTTTTTAGAACAATGTTTTTTTGTCAAAGGAAAGTTGGTGAAGTTACGTAAGAGTCCAATTTGGAGGCCACAACCAAATCCTCCACTAACTTAGACATTATATACATTAAAACTAGAGATTATCATCATTGCCTCCTAATGTCACTTGTCTATGGGCATATTTCCACAATAGGACCTTACAAGACTCTGATCCATTTAAAACTTAGCTTTTAATAGTAATATTGAAATCCTAAAAAAATTGTGTGATTGTGCATGTATAAATATGTTCACATTAGGACTATGTTCTACGAAAAGATAAAGAGGGTCTTAAATTTTGGATATTTATTAGGGTAAATTATGAATAATCTCTTAAAATTTGCTTAAAATATGAATTACCTCCTATAATTTTAGAAATTATATTCTGTCCCCTAAATTTACTAATTTCATAACAAAAAACTAATTTTATTAATAAATTATCAAGTCAATTAATAATTTTTAATGATATCAAAAATATATTTCAATTAATAATTCAAATAATTTTATTATTGTATAGAAAAACAATTAAAATTTTCATTTTTCTAATTAATTCTGTTAAATAAAAAATTGTTATAAAGAGATATTTGTAATTTTCTAAATTACAGATAACAATCCATATTTTAAGTATACCTCAACAGATAAATTTGTAATTTGTCCTATTTATTAAGAGAGATTACTAATTACAGAATTTGATCACATAATTAAGTACAATTTTTTCATACAAGCTGCGATTCACACATTTAATAGACTCATTACATGTGAAAGACTACTTGTGTGTGATTTGTTATTCAATTTGAGAATTATTGAGAGAGAGAGAGAGATAGAGGGGATTGCAAATTTGTTTCTTTTGATGTAGGCTTGACCTACTAAAAGGTGTTGGAAAAAAAGTGAAAGGTTATAACTTTGAAGATATGGGGTCAAGAGGAAGATGATTCACCACCAGGCATTGTCGATCGAGAGAGATTGCCATATTTTCTAGCTGCATTGGTTCAACATGTGGGTAAAGCCCATGTTGAGCGGACTTTGCATGCCTACTATATAGACTTGTTTGGTAATTTTAAATTTTTTTTTATGCTTATAAAAAATTGTTGATGCTTACTTTTGTTTTCAAAACATTGTAAATTATTTATAAAATTTACTAAATTTTTGTTAAAAGAAAAAAATAGTTACGTTTGTTCAGAAATTTTTTTCCTCTCCCACCACTACCCACCACCCATCATCACCACCGACCACCATCAACGACAACCTCCTTCGGTCACTGTTGCCGCAACCTCCTGCAATCGACAACCAACTTTGGCTGCTAACAACGACTGGCAATTACTCCTACCAATGACAAATATAATAGTTGATTATGATAAATTTTACAATTTGCAACGGCCACCATCAATGACAACCTCCTTTGGTCACTGTTGCCACAACCTCCTGCAATCAACAGCCAACTTTGGCTGCTAACGACTGGCAATTACTCCTACCAAAGACAAATATAATAGTTAATTATGATAAATTTTACAATTTGCAACGACAATCAATAAAGTTGACTCTAAAATTTGTTAAGTTAATATAATAATGATATATAAGAGGATAAATAAATTTTAATTTACCAAAGGTCATCATCGTAACAATAACATAGCTAGAGCAATATAGATGAACCATTTTTACATTTCCCTTTCAAGGGTTTAACGCGTTAATGGACTTGGACCCTTTTGACTACACGCATATTATAGGCTCTGAAGACTCTAAAAAAAATTTCATTAGACATGTTAATCATTACAAGATTGACATGTACCTCAACAAGACCGCTGTACCACGAATAAATAAATAGATAAAATTTGCAAAGTCTAACTAGATGTTCATATGTCACATATTGACTTGTTCTTTTGAGAAGATGACGACTGTCTGACGTTACACAGCTCACACAAACAAAACATCTAATTCATCTGTACATCTGATATTGGTAAATCCATAATCTTCATGTTCTTCCCATCATATGATCATACTGCTGTTTTCCAAATCAAACAAATCAATGGCCTTCTTTATGTTGTTAAAGCAGCGCAAGGTAATTTAATTTATACAAATGGTAGAAAAGAAACAAGGGAAACGAAAGCTGTAGTATGCAGTAAATAAGACTCGAATCCAAATATTACATCTGTAATACTAGGCTGATCCTATCTTAGCGCAAGGTAGTTGGAAATCCCCAATTAAAAAAAGTTAATTATACAAATGGTAGAAAAGAAATAGGGGAAATGAAAGCTGTAGTATGCAGTAAATAAGACTCGAATCCAAATATCACACCTGTAATACTAGGCTGATCCTGTCTTAGCGCAAGGTGGTTGGAAATCCCCAATTAAAAAAAGTTCCCAAGTTCGAGGTGTGTTGTGTACATTTTGTCTTCATTAGCTTCGTTGTTACATCACATTGACAACTTCCTGATCAACTCCCTTCCTCTGTCTATAAAAATTGTTCTGTTCCTGTCCATCCATTATAGATGATAGACACAATCCAAGCTGCGAATGAGATATTCCTGACCAGTTCCTATCTTCTCCATTCTAACCAATCTTACATTTACACCCAATCTTCACCAGTTGCATCACAAACACACAAACACGAACATAAACACAATCAGCTTCGCACCTTGACCAATGCACGTGCCACTAAATCTATATGCAGTGAGTTACCAAAGGACCTAAACCAAGAATCAAGCTCACAAAAAGACCTAACCAACCTCTCTTGAGAATAGAAAAGAAGATACAAGAACTCTATGAAACTCTGTCATGAAATCTTGTGCTCTAATTCTTGTGGAAACCCTAACAAAAACCCTAACAAATACAGTAAGTCAAGACTCCAATATAAAGTAACAAGAAAACCTAAACGAAGAAGGAAACAAGAACCACAAGGGTTTCATACCAAAAACGCTCAAAAGACTTTCAAAGACACATTCAAACAGCAACCCAGTGGATCTTGGACAATACGAAAAATTAGTCAAAACGTTCTCGTTCAAACTCAAACAATTATGTGTTTAAACAGGCAATGCACTGGACAAACTTACAAAACCATGCTTGTTCGAATGAACAACCTCACATTCAAATGCACAATGCACTGTTCCATACTAAATTTGAAACAAGCCAATTCATTAAGTCCAAAAACCAAATCTATTAAATCTTAAAGTCAAGCTCATTAGTCCCAAAACTTAATTATCTAAGGTCATGAACTTGATTAAACCATATTTTAATGGACTAACCTAGATAACATGATGCAAATACAATGCATTAGTTTTACCTTAAGAGTTTTTGGCTGTTTGATCATAATAAGGCTTGAGTAATCCAGAAGTATGAAACGATAAACCCAACTAGTCATTGTTGGCAACAAAGATGGTAGATGTAGATGAGTTTTGAATTTGGTATAGCTTCTTCAATATTATATTTGGAAGACGATAAAATTTTGACAATGTGCCTTGGAGCAAATGTGCATGTAGAGAGAATGAGTTTGTGTTCTAAATGCAAAATATCACAATCAGAAAAAGAGATTTTAGCTTCCAAGGTTGAGAGAAAGGAGGTTGGTGTTTCAACTTCGAGAGAGAGAAAGAAAGAGAGTGTATTGTCATTTGATGTTTCAACTTATGATGCAAATACATGAATGCATTGTTTTTTTTGGCAAAAATACAATCATGCTTTTAATGTGACAAGATGTAAATGAGGGATGTAAAGGATATATAAAAAATAAATGAAATAATAGCAATTATAGGTCTTTACTCGTAACTTTTTTTTATTGGGCATGAGTCTCTTCATGACCAAATTTGTTTTGATTCTTTCTATGATTATGACATATGTTCATTCTTTCCAATTCATAAGCCTTGTTGTTTAATGGGTGGGATCTTCTATAGAAAAATAATTAAATAAATTATATGGGCCTCAACTATTCTTATAAAAAATTGGGGGCCTTTCAAAATTGGGTTCATATAGTGAAGGCCTATGAAGCATGGACACGGATACAGATACGGACACGGGACACGGCGATTTCAAAAAAATTGGGACACGAACACGGTGGGGGACATGACAAATTATTATTATTATTTTAAATATATATGTTGCGTATTTGCTATGTAGATTAATTTTATATTACCAAACAATCAAAATAAATAAAAACTAATATTAATTTAATGTGTATATAAGGACCATTACATTTAAACATTATAAACATATGTTCTATATATTGTAAACATTATATAAAGAAAAAATTAAATTAAAATATACAATATATATAAATATCTAATTATAAAATAAATAAAGAAGAAAGAAGATAAAGAGAAGAGATATAATATATATAAATTAAAATATAATATATATATAAATATGAATATGAATATAAATAAAAATATCTGATCAACAGAGAAGAGAGAGAAGCGAGATAGAAGAGAGAGAAGACAAAGAGACGAGAGAGAGGCGAGAGGTGAAAAGAGGAAGAGTGCAGAGAGAGACAAGACAGGGAGAGAGAGACGAGAGAGATGGAGATAGACGAGAGAGAGAGAGAGAGAGAGAGAGAGAGAGAGACTGAGAGCGACGAAGACGACGATCGGAGACCAACCACCTACGACTGACGACTCACCAGCAAAGAGCTTCTAGGTATGCCCGACAACCCCCCCCTCTCTCTCTCTCTCTTTTGTTTTGAGTTCAATTCTTGTTCCGATATGGACACGCGTGTCCTGCCGTGTCCCCGCCAAAAAAATCATTAAATTAAAGGGACACACCATCTGGCGTGTCCCGTATGTGTTCCCGGCATGTCCGCGTGTCGGACACTGCCACGGCACCGATTTTGGAGTGTCCATGCTTCATAGGTGAAGGCTTTATTGGCTTTATCATAAAGTCAACCCTTCCCTCGACACCGATTTTGGAGTGTCCATTCTTCATAGGTGAAGGCTTTTATTGGCTTTATCATAAAGTCAACCCTTCCCTTACCATGAAATCAAGAGGGTTTCGAGGTTCTTACAACAAACAAGAAACCACGCGATAGTGATCTTCTGGTGCTCCACTTGCAAAAGTACACGAACCATAATTCAAGAAACATACTCCCATCAATTGCAAATCTCTGATCAAAAACTACTTTCCTCATTCTTATACCTGTGTCTAATCTAAACTAACACTCTTGTACCTAAGATGAAAATGCAATGCCATCCAAAGTGTAGATAACTCTTTCAAAATTCAGCTTAACTCTTTCAAAATGGGGACTTCTAATAAAGGCTCATCTCAGCTTTCCAGAATTCCAGCAATTCTTGTAGATGCATGGCATGTGTATTTGAATTCATGAAATAACAAACTTACATAGCATAAAAAATTGTTAGCAAGTTCGTGAAAGAGTTCTTGTGAAAAATGTTACAGTAAATAACAACGCAGTGTGACGCCGAGGGAATAATCACAAGATAAAAATAATAAGAATCCACAAGACATGACATCCAAGCTTTTGGATCGACTAATCTAGGCAAGACAAACAAAGGAAAACAGGAAGGTTGTCATACCTTCTCCGAGGTGACAAACAATGCCTGAATTGTCAGACTTCTTTTACAATGTAGCCAATAATCTTTAACTCTTGCATCTAACATCTGTAGCTCAGCACTGTTTAGAACAATCAAGTAATCCTGCTATTGTCTCCAGTGTAAAGCAAAGCTTTAAATTGCTGATGAGTAGTACAAAAAGAAAGGTGTGATGATATGTTTCAACATCCCGTTCAGCACAACAAATAATACATAACTGTCCATGATGCTAAGTTTGATGCCCTTAAAACTATAGAAGTAAATCAATCATGATATGTTTAACTAGTCATGCACCAAATAGTAAAAAAGAATGCATCAATATTCGTAATCTTAGAGGATCTTGTGGAAGCATCAATACAACTAATAAGGGCTTCTTCAGTTCCCAAGACCATCTAATTCAAATCAATAGACAACAAACTATCCGCCCATTGTATATAAACTATACAAATCAAAGGCAACATGAAATAAGTTAAACAGCAAACCATCAATATAGCTTCGTTTCTTCGACACCCCTTACCCTGGAAAAAAAAAAAAAAACAATTTGACAGTTGCCTTCTACTAAAGTTAAATGTGACTTGAGGATATATTTGATTTAGTTGTATAAAATAAAAATGCATGGTGACATTGATATGCAAAATTAGTTTAAGACCACTGCCGAAGCATTCATCCAGTTCCAAAGGCTTCTTTGGTCAATATCCTCTCACAGATTCCAAATAAAGCACCATGGATAATTGTGGAAGTACCTTCAATGCATTATTCATAGCTTCCTTTCTTTTACACCCTTTCACCAAGAAAACTTCTCAATTTGAGAGGAAAGTTTCTAAAGTTTCGACGGCTAGATCTCAGTTCTTGGAACTGCAATGCAAAACTTCCAATATCTTGATGACTTTCTATATTTAGATAATCAGCCATACAATGACCTGAAAGTAATATGTTATCCACTACATGACAAGCGAAATTTAATGTGAAATGAGATTTTAAAAACTTCCATTTTGGAACTCTCAACAACTCTCAAGTAGAGTTGATAATGCAGAACAGTTGCAACTTGCAAGTAAGAAATTAAAAGTGACAAATATTACTAAATAATAGCCAAATCACAAAGCATGCAAGAATAGTCTCTTCTATTTCAATTTTACTAAGTAACACCCCAAACTACATTTTCTAGTACAGGGTCTGAAAATGGAACAGAATTCTTTGACAGTGTTTCTCAATTTCTTCATCTCATGAGAAACTACGTTTACAACATGAACAGACAAATTTGAACCAGACAAAGCAATCAACAATATTTCACAGAAGCTAAAATTCCCAATGTGTGAAGTGTCATTGATAGTATACCACACGAGGAAGCTTGAACTTGTCCGAGATGAACGGTATTACCTGTGGACTCTCAACCAAATCACGATAAAGATCATACTCTGCTTCGTAGTCATGTAAATGAAGCTCAGCCTTCTGATTTGTATGGTAATGATGCTTAGCTGAAGTTGATTTCCCAAATCCAAATATACTAACTTTATCACAAATTCCCAAAGCAAGCATAATAGCTTGCATACCCGAAGAGTAATGGAACAGGGAACCATCGTGGGCATATACCCATTCTTCCACAGGCCTCTTCGTAACCTCCACGAACCGTTTCAATGAGTAATACTTCACAATCCGAGTGCACAACACATCAAACCGGAGATCAGTAATGAGCAAAGGCGCTCTGTGAGAAGAATTACATAGTGTGTAATCCAAGAAATGGACAGGTTGGCAAATATACATGACAATTGGAACAGTTCTGCCATAGGGATGGCAAAAACAGCCCTCCCTTCGAGCACACAAATGCAATATATTGCTGTTAACAAAGGAAATATTTGTTTTCGAACCCACATTGCGCTCAAAACCACCGGTCCTCGCATTGTTCAATCGAATTACTATTTCATGGCTATCAATCAACTCACCATAGTCACTCTTTAACAAAATCCCACTATTCCCCACTACAGCACAAGACAAATACCGTCTCTCCAAACGCACCAACCCATTATGCCGATCAATCGGAACCCTCACTTGACTGACTAATTCCAACATTATATCTGATTGGAATCCTTTGTTCCGCCACCAATTATGCAAATTCCTCCTAAAATCCAACAATAACCGGTGAAATTTCGGCAACCGAAGCTGAATTGGTAAGCCTCTCGACGATCTCAGCCGAATTTCGGGACGATTGTACCTTCCCGACGACAGGGTTGGCCGGTTCCGACCCTGATTCCCAAAATTCCCCTCCAACAACTGCTCAATTTCTTGCTTCACTCGCGTTTCCCCCAAATCAACAGCGGCAAATTTCAGCAGCGTGGCATTCAACACCGGCGCCACCGCCAAAACGCCGCTGTTTTCGGGGCGAACAAGGCCGAATCGCCGACGGATGGCGACTCGGCAGCTGAGAGTCGCCGCCATTACAACGAGAATCAATACGCTGAAAAGCGGCCTGACAGAGCGCTTCATTGGAGTTTTGAGTTTGGTGTCTATAGCTAACAGATCAAACAAGGATTGTTGCTAAATTTTGAAGCAAAAAGGCATAGCTAAAGCTGTAGTTACTACAAATCTGAAATACAAGTTCGATCCATCTCCAATTGCTCGCACTACAGTATGCACAAGTAACTACTTTAACTATATATGTATATATATTGAAACATTGATAAACCCTAGGTGGGAAAATTGGGAGTCAAGATATTGGTGGATTGTTACACTGTTAAAAATTACAACTGACCAAAAAGCTGAAATAAAGCTATATACATCTATATATGAGACTCATGCATATATGTATGTGTGTTTGTGTATTTGTGTTAAAGGTGAGGATGGACTTACAGGTGAGAAGAAGAAGCTTTAGAGAGAATGGAAGATATGAGAGAGTGGGAGAGAAGGGACTTGAATCGGCGGAGAGCTAAATGTGACGCTGGAGAGAGGAAGAGGATAGAGAAGATGAAAGCGATTTGTGAATGGAAATTCATTCAATCTCTTTCGTTTCAATTTTCAGAATTTAATTTTTTTTTCATTAATTTTTTTTTTGTTTTTTTAGTATTTTTTTTATTTTTAATAAATATTTTTAAAATTTTAAGTTTTTTTTTACTTAAATATATTTAAAAAATAAATTATTTATAAAGACATTTTTTAAAAAGAGTAAATTTTTTTAATAAATATTTTTAAAATTTTAAGTTTTTTTTTTACTTAAATATATTTAAAAAATAAATTATTTATAAAGACATTTTTTAAAAAGAGTAAATTACCCTTCAGAATTAAAATACGAATCGCTTCTTGTAATTCTACAAATTACATTTCACTCCCTGATATTTCTAATTTCATAATAAGTTATCTTTTTTTATTAATAAATCATTAAATCAATTAATAGTTTTTAATGATGTTATAAACATGTTTTAATTAATAATTTAAGTAATATTATTATTGTATAGTATATTAATTATGAATTTTATTTTTTTTAGTTAATTATGTTAAATAAAAAAATTTGTCAATGGAGTATTTGTAATTTTCTAAATCACAAGGAGCAATTTGTACTTTAAGCAAACCTCAAAGAGTGTATTTGTAATTTACCCTTTAAAAAATCAATAAATATACAAAATACAAAAAAATGTACCAAATTCTCACATATTTTTTTTTATATTTTTGGTATTTATTGAATTTTTTATTAAAAAAAATTTCACAAATCTATACTTTTTAAATGTATTTATGTTAAGTATATCTAAAATTTTTAAAAAAATAAATACTTAGAATATTTTTAAAAAAAATAATTAAAACAAAATAAAAACAAAAAACACAAAATCAATTTTTTAAAAAGTGAATCTTGAAAATCCAAACCAAACAAGCTAATAGTATTTTATTTGGTACATATATGCACTTTATCATAACTAAATAAGAAAATGACATGTTTTCATATTTTTTGAGTCATAATAAAATATTACATTTTTTTATAAGGCATAACTAAAATAATATAATAATTAAAAAAGAAAATTAATTATAACTAAATGAGAAAATTACATATTTATGGATGCATGGGTGAAAATGATATGTGGGTTATTTATACAAAGACTCTCAAATTATTGAGAATTATTATTTTGATCCCTTAAATTATAAAAATATACAAATAGATTTTTAAATTATAAAAGTGTACTAATTGAACCCCTTAACAGAAATGATTAAAGTGAAACACATCAATAGATTCTCAATAATTTAAATAATCTATTTATATTCTTTTATAATTTTAGAAGTTATAATAATATTTTTTTAATAATTTAGGGACGTCAGGTAAATAACTCTCTTTCGGTTGCATATTCTGAAGTGAATAATGCAACTGTTTTGCCTTGTTTTTTTTTTTTTTTTTGGGCCAAGTTTTGCCTTGTTTGATGGGTCCAATTTATTACACAAAATTAGGAGTCTTGCTACCGACCGTCTTTTGTGGTGTAAAATGAAAGGGGAATTCAAAAAAATGACATCAATATGAAATAATAATAATAATATTATGAAAATATAAGTAATTTATGTAATAGATTATGCAATTAAATTTTATACTTTCATCTTTTTGTCATAATTTTGAGTTTATATCGTCTTATTGTAATTATCCCTAAAACAAAAAATAAATAAATTTAAAAAAAAACGTGTTCATAATCTTATTGTAAAATAGTGGCTGTCAATATATATATATATGATCATATTAGTTGAGAAATAAAGTCAATTATAATAGTAACTAGATTCAATTTTTGATGATATTGTGTGATAAATAAGTTAAATCTAATGGTCACATTAAGTATAAGAGATTAATGATAAGTAAAATCATAAAAATTACTTTAATTTTTTGGGAAATTCATTTCAATTTTTGTCTCTAAATTTAGGAATTAGTGTGCATGTTGCACCTTGGACCATTGTAGGGCCTCCTCTGATTCTTAATAGGGCACATTCAAGATACATTAAAATGATTCAAATTGTTTATTTTATAATATTCGTTAAGTAGATTGTACATATAAAAATTAAATTAATTAGATATTAATAATCAAATGATCAAATCACATTGTGTTAATAACATAATTTTGATGATAATTTAATTTCATTTATTTATAAAATAAAATAAAAAAACAGATTTGACTTGATCATCAATCTAATTTTCTTTTCACAAATAATTCCCATATGTCCTACAAAATTAATAATTTAAATTTTTAAAATTGATTCCACTAATGGTCACAACAAGACCCAACTCTAATTTAATTCATTACCAATTAATGACTATAGTTTATTTAAAATTAGGTCAATGGTCGTCAATAAATTTTAGATACAATATGCAAAATTACAATTACTGTGTTTGGTTTGAGTTTTTTGGATTAACTTTTTTAAAAATTGAATTTTTTGATTTTCATATTTTTTTTGTTTTTAGTGAATATTTTTAAAATTTTAAATATTTTTTTAACTTTTTTAGATGCATCTTACTTAGATGTGTCTAAAAAGTAAAAAAAATGTGAAAAAAATATTTTAAAAAATTAAGAAATACATAAAAATACAAAATGTACTAAATTCTTGTATTTTTTATTTTTTTGGTATTTAGTGAATTTTTAAAAGATTTTTTTTATAATTTTTTTACTTTTTAGGTGTATTTATGTTAGGTGTGTCTAAAAAGTAAAAAATTTGCATAAAATATTAAAAAATTCAGTAAAAACAAAAAAAATATGGAAAATAAGAGTGTAAAATTTTCTGAAAACTGTTTTTAAAAAATGGGAACCAAGCAAAGTGAATTATTTTTTTATTATTATTATTTTTTGTACCATAGAAAAATAACTAGCGGATGGAATTTAAAACGTGTGAAAAAGAAAATGAAAAAAAAGTGTGTATATTCACTAGTTAGATGGACAATGAAGGGTAGTTACGATGCTAGTTCCTGGAATTGGAGCAGGGGATTCGGATACTGTAGTTTGCCAGTGCAGCACGAGTCATGCACAGCATCAGAAAAAGGGGAATAAAAAAAAAAAAACATAAAAAAATCATGATAAGTTCGTTTGAGCCATAGCAGCTTGAAGTTGAGTCCATGTGTCTATAATAGGCAAATAATGGTAGAAAGTGTGAACGTTGAGAAGGTAAATCATGAATATTCTGTTTTTTTTTTTTTTTTAAATTTTAAAAAATTGTAGACTTCTTTTAAAAAATTTCAAAGTCAGCATAAGATTTCTTTAGGAATTAATTAGAAAAAGAAGAATGTTTGAGGCATCGAAATTTCGAGGCTCGTATGTTTTGAAATTTTTTTTTATTTTTTTGGCAAGGGTGGTTATGTGTAGGGATGTATTAAAAAATTAGACATCCTACAGTAACTCAACCTATGTGATGAGACAGTTTGTGATGGTAGAACGGGTCGGACTGATCCATGTTCCTTAAACCTATGTCCGAATGACCAAGCCCACCTGAAGACCTGCACAAGAGTTCAACGAGGAACGAGGAGTCCTCCAGCGAACCCTCCGACGAGCAAGTTAGAGAGAGAAGTGGAGTGTAGAAATGGAATAGAGATAGAAAAGCTTAACATTCTTCTTGTCTTCAACATCTACTTATATCTTTTGGTAATCATTCCGTTGTCCCTTCCGACCTGAAACCTTGGCCAAAAGTCTATGCTGTAGCTTACCTTGTTCAGGGTGAGGGCGTGCAGTCCCGATGGAAAGGTGTTGTCGTAATAAATGCTGTGAGGGGCTGCATTAACGGCGATGTGTAGTGGTAATAACTTTGCAGATCTTTGTCTGCTGATGTGGCTTGCCCTTTACCTGCCACGTGTCTGAATATCATTGGTCCTTCAAATCATGTTGACTTCCAGCTGTGTTGGGCCTTATCAGTTGGATTATGTATTAGGCCCTAAGTGGTAGGCTTGGGTTGTTCATAGTGGGTTATGGCCTTTATGGGCCTACCCACGTTAGTAGTCCCCAATTCCCAAGTGTAACTTTAGTCCAACAAAGGGAATAATGAGGAAGATGGGGGTTGAAGGTCGCGTGAAAGGAACGACCGAACAGAGGTGGCCGAGTGGAGGGACCGACCGTGAGGAGGGCCGACCGCGAAGGATAACCAAGTGGAGGGACCGACCGTGAGAAGGGCCGACCGCGAAGGATAACCAAGTGGAGGGACCGACCGTGAGAAGGGCCGACCGCGAAGGATAACCGAGTGGAGGGACCGACCGTGAGGAAGACCGACCGCGAATGATAACCGAGTGGAGAAACCAACCGTGAGGAGGGCCGACCGCGAAGGGTAGCCGAGTGGAGACTACGAAGGGTAGCCGAGTGGAGGGACCGACCGTGAAGAGGGCCGACCGCGAAGGGTAGCCGAGTGGAGACTACAAAGGGTAGCCGAGTGGAGGGACCGACCGTGAGGAGGGACCGACCGTAAGGAGGGCCGACCGCGAAGGGTAACCGAGTGGAGGAACCGACCATGAGGCCGACCGCGAAGGGTAGCCGAATGGAAGAACAGACTATGAGGCCGACCATGAAGGGTGAGGTGATAGGATGCGAGGCTCGAGAGGCGGTAGGTCACGTAATGACTTAAAGTGAAAAAGACAGGGTAAGGGAAGGGGGCAGTGAATCGTGGTCGTACACGTGACAACATCTCGTGGTGGGGGAGGTTAGGCGTTGGGCCAGAAGTGAAACGATAGGTTATTATGGGTGTTGAAAAGACAGTTTTGGCGGATGGTTGAAAATTTTTCAAACTGGCGAAAATTAATTGTGACCCCTAGAATACAGGCAAGCCTTGGGCTTTTGGTATTATACGTGTTACCTACCTTTTTTTGAAAAATCAAAACACTCCAAGTATAGACTCCTTCGTTGCAAATGATATACCCTTGCGATATTTTTTGAATTTCCTTGCACCCGCATCTGAAACTATTCGTAGACACACCACAGAAATGGCCCAAGAAGAAACTGCAAACGCCAGGGTTGATCCATTGGGGGACGACGACGCGGTGGATTTGGCAAAGCAATATAGGACGGAG